GGTAGGCGGGGGCGCTGGGTGTGCGGTTGTGTCCACTCCGTCCCTCTGTGGCAAGCGGAGGTGCTGGGTGTGCAGTTGTGTCCACTCCGTCCCTCTGTGGTAAGTGGAGGTGCTGGGTGTGCAGTTGTGTCCACTCCGTCCCTCTGTGGTAAGTGGAGGTGCTGGGTGTGCAGTTGTGTCCACTCCGTCCCTCTGTGGTAAGTGGAGGTGCTGGGTGTGCAGTTGTGTCCACTCCGTCCCTCTGTGGTAAGCTGAGGTGCTGGGTGTGCGGTTGTGTCCACTCCGTCCCTCTGTGGTAAGCTGAGGTGCTGGGTGTGCGGTTGTGTCCACTCTGTCCCTCTGTGGTAAGCTGAGGCGCTGGGTGTGCAGTTGTGTCCACTCCGTCCCTCTGTGGCAAGCGGAGGTGCTGGGTGTGCGGTTGTGTCCACTCCGTCCCTCTGTGGCAAGCGGAGGTGCTGGGTGTGTGGTTGTGTCCCCTCAGCAGCTGCCCTATTTAAGGACTCATCGCCGACTGAGCTTATTTACTCGTCCATGAACATGTTAGCACATGTGTATACTTCTGTGTAAAGAGTTCATGCAACAGTTAACCTTGTAGCTCACGAGTGTAGTTTTGAGAGCACTGAGTGGGGATAGTCAGAGAGAAGTGGGGTCCTTCTGGCTCCTCAGGCTAACAACTGAAACCTAGGAGCCTAACCACAGCACTGCATGGTGATGCGGAATCCGGACATCCTGGATGAGGAGCGGGGTTTCTGGCCCGTCCTTTCTCTATTTGCTTCATCATTTACAGAATCGAGGCTCTGGGGACCAAGAAGCTTAACCAGATGCCCAGGTGGTGGGCAGCAGAGAAGCCTCTATGAAGAAACACTCGCACTGCTTCCACACAGACGGGTCTGGCTGCAGGAGCTCAGTGAGGCCCTCCACACTGAGGAGAAGCGGGCCCCACCGTCCTCTCAGGCCAGCTCTTTAGGAATAAGGCAAGGCAGGGGTGGCCACAGCAACCAGAAGAGCAAGAGTTGTAGTTACTTTCCAGACTGTCCAGCCCCATCTCCCTAGAAGAGTTCCCAAGGTCAGGAGAGGTCACGTAATGTACCCAATGCCATAGAACCAATCAGCGTCAAGGTCAGGTCAAATCCCAACTTAGGTTCCCAGGCTAGTTCTTCTAGGCCAGGAAATGTCCCTGGTGTAGTGGGGTGTCGCTGCACAGCCTCCCAGTGGCAACAAGATGGGCTCTGACCCATGCCACTTCGGGGTGTGGCATTGGCACTTGTCCCCTCCTCTTGCTCTGTCATCCTCCAGCATGGGGGTCTTCACAGGCTGATCCAGCACAAGCCCTCTTCAGCCTGCCACCAGCCTTCAGTGTTCCCAGATTCAGCTCTTGGCCAAGGCTGGTGGGACTGCTGTGTGGCCAGGGGCCAGGCCATCCTTGGACATTCACCCCAACATGACGCCCTTGACCATTCGAGCAGTGGATAGCCCTGTTCTCGTGGGCCGATAGGATCTGCCCGGCATCCAAGGCGTCTCCCAGCCCGTTCCTCCTTGCTGGCTCCAGCGGCTCCCCTCTTCTCCCCTTCTCTGGACCTCATGCCCTCTGCGGCCAATCACTTCTCACTGCTTCCTTTCCCTTGCAGTTCCCTGTAAGTGGCCACCCAACAAGTGCTGCCACGGTGGGTGTCTCTTGCTCCAGGACTGTCAGCCCCCTCCCTATTCCCACAGCCAGGGTGGTTTAGCCTGCTGGGCCTCACATGGTTGTGTAGCTCCTAGGCTGTTCGCTGTGATTTAAGGAGGGGCTGTCTGAGCTCCCCAGCAAGGTGACAAGCCCAGATGATGTGAGTAACATGGTGGCCCCTACCACGTAACAACTGATTGGCTGAAACAGAGCCTTTTAGTTTTCGATTGCAAGAAAATAGCATTACATACTGTTAATATGCCCTTCGCATGGAGGCGGCTGAATCAATTGGCCATTGGTGAGCTTCCGTTCTGGCTCCTTCTCATACTTCCTCCTCATCCAGGTGGCTTCTCTTCCCACACCCCTCCACTAGGGTCTCTGGAAGTCACGGATCATTCACCAGCCACGCCCATTTCTGGCCTGGAAGTATGACAACTTACTCTTGCTCTTTGGGAAAAGAAGTTGCTTTCCATGCGCCCACATTGCTTTGATTATACGATGTCACCAGCCCCCGTGAGCATTTTGTGGATGGAACTGGCCTATGAGAGAGCACTTGGACCAGTCAGAAAGCAGCCTTTAATTTTTTTTTCTTTTTTCCCAGACAAAATTAAACCTGGTTTGACATCAAAGGAGGGTCTGGGGAGCGTCAGTCTGAGAGATTTCCGTTTTTATCAACATTCTCTCCAAACTTCCTCCATTTTCAGCAGCCTGCCAATTCCCTTGAAAACACGGCCCTGACCCTGAAAAGGCCTCGGGAAGCCCGCTGAACATGAAAACCATAAAAGTAGGGGTTTGAACTTCACAAAAATAACAGCTGGGGAGAGTCGAATGGAAAAGGGCTTGGAAGTCTAGGAAAAGAACACGTTTGTGAACTTGCACACACACCTGCGAAACGCCATTTGGACCACATCCGTCATCATCTAATTAAAAATGTACAAGCCTGAAACTTTTCTTTTTTGCTGGCCCCAGCCTGAGACACTTTTGAAAAGAAGAAAAGTGCAGTCCTGTGGTCGGAGAGGAGATGACGATCGGGGGCTGTCCCTGTGTTCCCCACGCGTGGCGTCTCTCCCCTCTGCCCCCACCCCGCCCTCTTCCCTCTCCCCCTACCCCTAGCGTGCCCCTGAACCAGTCATTTACAGGAGATGGCTGTCGTGGTGCATAAAGAAATAATTTAAAAATCTTCAAAAGGCTGGCAGCATAAAAATCCCTGGCTCTGTCGTTTCTCTGTTTCTGCAAGCAGCAAAAGATCCATAATTCTCACACTTAATGTAATTCCAAGACATCTAAAGTGATTTACAGTCGGTTTACTCAATACTTTCAGCTTTATTTAATGTAACAGTTATGGCACATAAAAAGTTTATTGAAAATCCTTTGGGAGTGCGATTGAGTAAGAAAGCGTCGTTGCTAATACCATTACAGAAACAGAAGGGAAGGCTCTCAGCCTGTTTCCTCCATGACCTTTATGGTCCCCGAGCAAGGGTGATGCAGGAGAGGACCTGGCATACCCAGCGGCCATGGGGAGCTGGGCTTGCTGCTGGCTAACGGCCGCCATCTTGGCTGTGCCGAGCCTGGCAGGCAAGGTGACAGGCCTTGGTTTAGATGACCCTGGAGTCTCTGTTACTACACGGAGTTCAGGTTCAGAAAGCCTGTGAACGGGGAAAAGCCAGCGTCATTATCCCCTCTAATGCCGCCCTGTCCTCTATTTTGTAATAAGTCCTCCTTTTCACCGGGCCATGTCCACAGGAGTCCCTACCAGGCCCTGAAGTCCCCATAGCTGTGGCCGTGGCTGTGCAGAAGAGCGGAGTCCTGGAGAGAGGCTGCCAGCCCCTTTGGAGGCAGGAAGGTTGGGCTCCTGCCAGGCGGGTGGTGAGAGCCCTTCTTCCCGAGGGTCCTGCAGGGGCTGTGTGAACAAGGACATGGCCCACTGCCATGGCGCCTTTCACCCCTTGACCCGCACCCACTCACCTTCCTACTGTCGGCGAAAGAAAACAGGCTGGAAGAGGGCTGGAAGGCAACGGAGGAGCTTGCTTCTCTGACGTCGGTATGTCCACTGAAAACCGCCTCTTGTCTCTTGACGAATGACCTCATCTCCTGTGCCTTCTCTACCCAGGCTAACTGCTGCTGTCTGGGAGTTGTAAGAACCTGATGGCCGTGGAGGGAGCCCTGGAGCGAGCCCTGGAGCAGCTGGGACATCTCGTTTACTCTCCCACTCGCGTCTCCTGAACGCGCGGCTGAGTGCTGGTCGTCAGGGATTTCTTCATCTCTGTAGTGGTAGTGCCCTTGGGATCTCTCTCTTTGCCACCCCTACCCCAGCTTTGAGAGATGATGTACTCTGCACTTAGAGATATTATGGCAGTCAGAGTGTTCCTTGTTTAAATACAAATTTAAACAACAAAACATTCCCAATGAATATAATTTCAGATTAAATGACTCACTTTCGTTTCTGCACTAAACATATTTTAAGTTTCCCACATTGTCCCAGAGTCATTAATAAGGTGGTTGTTTTTCTGAGCGGCGCTGCGAAGATGCTTCCGGGACCTCTGGAAGCTATTTGCCCTAGCTCTAAATATCTCGTTTTGCTTTCTGGGTTCCCATAACTGTTTCACATACACATACAAACACGCACACACATTTCACTTTTTTTTGCCTATTGTTTTAATTTTATTTTCCATCCATATTTATTTATATATTTTAGAGAGGTTTTCGCTATTAGAGCACATGTGCTTGCCAGAGACACAGAAAGAGACAGAAAGTGAGAGAGTGAGAAATCACCCTGCACAGACACACCCCAAAGGGAATGGCCACGCTGCAATCCCTTCTCCTCCATTCTCCTCTCAGGATTTTTGGGCAGGCACGCAGACATGCCTGGCATGAGTTTCAAGCTGCCGGGTCTGGCACATGAACACCATCAGCCATGTGGGAGTCTAGCACCTTAATCACTACGCCACCTGCTGGCTCCTAACGTCATTTTCTAATCTCTGAGTAAAACACCAGATAATCTCATTGAAAACTTGATTTTGTGGTATTTATTTTATTTTTTTCAGAGGTATTTTTCCTTTTTCTTTTTTCTAGAGAGATTTTTGCTAAAGGGCATGTGTGCTCACCAGAGAGACGGAAAGCGAGAAATCATGCCTTAAGGGAATGGCCATGCTGCAATCCCTTCTCCGCCATTCTCCTCTCAGGATCTTGGGCACGCACGCACATGCACCTGACATGAGTTTTAAGCCACCAGGTCCGGGACTTGAACCATGGTTGACTACAAGGGAGTCCAGCAATGTAACTATTATGCCATCTGCTGGTCTCCAGAGGTATTTTTCTACATGCCTCCTGCTTCTTGCCTTTGCTCCTAGTAATTCTCGTTGGGTTGGTGCTGGGCGTATACGTGATGTATGGAGTTGTACATATGTGTGGACAAAGCTATTTATAACACGCTTGAGAGTTTAAAATGAACTTACAGCAGGTATTGCTAACGTACTGCTAAGGGCGATGTGACAGTTCCTTGTGACCTCCTTTTCCCTGAGAGGGGAGCAACGCCACTCCCGTGTGATGGGCTCTGGTAAACCCTTGATCTCTCAGTGAGGACTGTACTTCCAGACCCCCAGCCCACAGGCCCCAGCCCTCTCCCTGTTCGCAGTCCATGATGGATTGAAACCATTCTCTTGAGTTTCCGCAGCTCAGTTCTGCCATGACGACCACTTCTGCTTTACGACGATTAGTACCCGCCCTCCATTTAGGAAGTGTGTGCTGAGGAGAGCTGACACTTCCTAGCCCTGCTGGGAGCCTGGCAGGGCGTTGTGCCTCTCCCCAGGGTGCACCAGGTACAATGCCTTCATAGCAAATCAGACCCTTTTCGCTCCGGTATTGTCCTACCCGCCTGCTCTTCATGCCCCTTAGTGATTACCAAGAGAATTATCTTCTGACCGCACGGCCTTGTGTGAGTTAGGAAGAGCTGGTGTGACAGCTCGGGGCTGGTAGTAGTCAGTCAGGCTGTACTTGTGTTTTGGAGGAGGGCACCGGGGGCTCTTCCGGCCACGTCTGAGGTTGTCTCTGGCAGTAACTAGCTCCCGAGCACGGCAGCGCTTTGTGACGTGCTGTGACACGGGCACTGCGTCTAAGCTCTCGCCCACAGCGAGTCGGGAGGACTGCCCTTCCTGCGCCCTGCACCATCACACACTGACCCCGGGTGAGCCCTCCATGCATGCGGCCTGCGGTCAGAGGCGGAGCTGGGACTTGGAGCCAGGGCCCGCAGTTTGGGACCTGGGCTCTTCCCTGGAGCCACTGGGCCACGTGAACAGCACGCTGCAGAGCGAAGGTGCCCTCGGCCACCCAGAAGGGTGACGTCTGAGTGTGCTTCTCTTTCAGGTGTCACATTCTGTCCCCTGAAAGGTCCTGCTCTCGAAGAAGCCCACTAAGGAGCTGCCGTACTAAGGACTAGTGCTGTTGCCATGAGCTCCAAGGGCATTTTGTATTAATTAGGGACCTCCAGACTGAAAACCTTCTGAGGTTGACACCAGTGGATGTTTAATGTCAGAATACAGCTTCCTGGCAGGCGGGGTGGGAGAAAAAAGTGATGGGAAGTCTTTCTTCAATGTCAGTGACATTCTGCATCTTACTAGTGTGAACTTTTTTGTCATGCGCACAACACACCTTAGTTCACTGGGCCAGTTGGTGCTCCGAGGGGGTCAAATGCGCCTTGCTGGTGGGGGTCGTTGTATCAGTAACCACCAGAGGGCAGCAGAGGGCTGGAACTGCTGACTGGAATAGGAACTAGGTTAATTCTTTAGGAAAAGGTCCAGAGAGACCCACAGGATTGCTACACGTGGTGGAACCATACACCTTCTCCCGGTCAGAGCCCTTTTTCAAGGCTGGTGCATCTGTCCCCCAGCTGCTGGGAGCACAGCGGCTGACGGCTTGCAGGTGCGTGGTCCTGAGAAGGCCCCACCTGGAGGACTGTTTAGCTCAAGGTGTGGCTTCCTCAGGGTCCTGGCCAAGGGCTGACTAGTGCAAGGAAACAGAGGCCCAGCCCCTTCCCCCAGCTTGGGATAACTCTCCAGGTCCATCCAAGGTGCAAAGCTCCAGGAGTGGGCCAGCAGGTGGCATGGTGGTTAAGGTGCTAGCTGCCCACATGGCTGACTGTGGTTAGAGTCCTATACTCAGCCGTTTGAGAATCACAACAAATAAATAAATGAATGTTAAAAACAAACAAAGCATGAAGCTCTAGACTGGTTGAGGCCTTAATTTGGGGTCAGCTTCTTCTGTGCGATCTGCCTTTCTGGGTTCCGTACAGGTAGATCTCCAGTGACCACCTTCTGGTCAACACGCACCACTCAGAGTTAGCTTTTAGGGAACTCCATTGAAGATGTTCAACTCCTTGGTGGGAGAAGGCCAGCTGTGAAACCCGAGGAGTAAAGGCAGAGACCAGCATTCAGCCTGGAGCACTCTTGAAACATGGAGGAATACACGGTCCGAGCTGGGAGTAGATCTGTCAGATGCCTACTGGAGTAGGCAGGCACTGGGGGTGTATCTAGAGCTCAGTCCAAGGTCCAACTGAACCGGGGCCACAAAATACGGAACCACAATGGACCAAGGAAGCAAGTAAAATGACTTTAATGAGGACTGAGGATAATAAGACGTTGCAAGGGAGATCCGAAGGCCTCTTTCTCTGCTGTTCCTCCTCCTTATGCCCCACGTCGAGGGACTGGCAGCACCCACAGAGTCAAGGACCCGGCTAAGCATGGTGTGTGTAGTTGTCTCCACAACCTCCTGCGACAATCTCCAGACCCCTAAGCCAGGATCACACAGCACATTCCGTCATGCTTCCTGTAAAGCATGGCTAAAGGAAACTGGTGAAGAAATGGAGTTCTATTGCTTTCAGGCTCTCTCTCCAATTTCTCTGATACATTTTTTAACCTTGGGGCTCGTAGGCCATTGCCCGTTTTCGAGTCCATTGCAGGCTTGTTCCACCTAAATAATCCAGGGGCTGTGCGTTCCCTTAGCTTCAGTGGGCCCCCTTCCATCCAGCCTCCCGTTTAGAGAAATGGACAAGCAGCAGATCCAGCATCCTGGATGTAGCAGAGGCTGGGGGCTCCGCAGGGACATGGCTGAGCGGCCTATGGATTAATGTACTATTATTACATTACTCTTTAAGCTTCAAAGGTCTGCCAGGAGGGCTAAGC